ATCTGCATATGAGCTCCTGCCAGAGTGTGGACAGGAGCAGGTCTCTCGCTTTGAGTGATCACCTCACCCACACTTTGGAATGACAGAATATGGCAGAAGATTGATGTCAAACGTGTAGGGCAATAGCACTGTTTTGTTAATGTATAAACACAAAACCTACAAAGTTTTAAAAAAGATAAGAAGTTATCCACTTTGCATTCTAAATAAAGTTAAATATTAAATTAGTTAAATATTAGTTAAATATTAAATTAAATTAAACTGTTAAGTTTAGGAAGCTAATATGTCTTAATATTGAATACACTTTATATTTGTACTTTGCATATCCAAAGTAAAATACAAAAACTCTATTTGGACTGACGTTTATCAGTCTTTTACTAATTCAAAACTTTTGATGAATTCATTTGTATATTTTACATTCTATTGTATTGCTCATATTTCTGAGTTAGTGACAAAATCACACACTGTTCTACATGAATGTTATAGAAAATTATCATTTATTATTTGTTTGTATCTACATTTTATGAATGCTATCTTTGTACATATTTCTAGTTGTTTTTCTTTGCAATTTAATTAATAATTTAATATGTATGTATGTATTATTTAAAATGTTCGGGCTCATCTCTCAAAACATAAAAGTCTTCAGTTTCATACATTTACATGCTGTTGTCTTTTTTCAGTTATGTTTACTATATGTGATTTCTTCCTTACATGATTTTTTTTTTTTGGTACTGGAAATCAAACTCAAGAACTCACACTTGACAGGCAGGCACTTGTGCCCCTGAGCTACACCCCAGCACTCTTACATTCATTTTTATGTATGTGTATGAGTTTGAAAGTTTGCTGTTGGTTTTGGGTATGAAACACATCAATAGAATCTGACACTGCAAATAATATATAAATTCAGGAAACTTTATAATTCTAAATAAATTAGGTATATGTTATGTCCTTTATTACACAGGGTACAAAGCATTTATATCATGTTAGTAAGTAAGCATAATACAATCTACTGGCTAGAAGGAACATCTGAACTATTTCCTTTTGCCCACTCATTTCTTATATCACTACACATATCACAAAATGGAAATTATTTCTGAAATAATTGAAGATATCATGCTGTCTCTCTTGCTGTAAGGTCAATGTGCTATGAAATACAATATGATTTTTTTAAAAACTACAATGCTGTGCAACAAATTATGAACACGTTTTTGCATCCGAATAATTAATGAGTAGAAAGTAATACTGCCGTTACATTTACTAAAACAGAGGTCAGTGGAGAGAACACTTATCAGATGGTGCCTGATTACAGGCAGGCTAATCACACCAGCAAACAGCTTTCCTAGCACAATATAATTTTCAGAAATAGACTCGTCTGACATAAAACAGCGTTGATGGCTGTCACTGATTTTCCTGCTGCTTCATACTTATCCTATTGCTCAGGTTATTTTCAATTTGCCTGCTTTGGGCAAGTAATTCAGTGCCCAGGATGCCCTATCTTTTTCTTCTTAAATACTCTTATTAGCATCTTTCACATGAAAAGAGAGTGCATGCAATCTGTTGTCCATCATTCCAGTGGGAAGGGTAGGTGAGAATTTGCTTTACAAAGGAAAAACTACTACTAATATTTCATTCCTATGAATAATTCTCATAAAATTACTGCACTTATGAAGTAGGCAATTACTCTTATTATCTCTCTTTTTCTAATGTACCTTTAAAGAATTTTGCTTTTTCATCATCAAACTCATTAACAGGAAACTATATTTTACTTTCCATTTTAAGTTTTTTGAAGATTTGGTGATATCTTTATTCTTGATATGTTTCCTTTTTTCATGCAGTAATGACCTTTTATTTTAAAATTCATGATATATTAAGGTCACTTTAATATATGAAATAATTTCATGTATTCATAATGATATATGAAATAACTTCTCTTTTGGTGTTGGAGATTGAACTCAGGTGATGGAAAACAGTAAACATGGACTATATAGGTCAACCCTTATTGAACAACCTCCTGCATGAGAAACTTTGCATAATATAAATCAATCTTCCCCAATTCTTTATTTTCTCATAAATGTTATTATTATATGTGGCTGAAAGTTATAATTGCAATAGTATAAGTTTTCTTTAGTACTTTAAAGTTATTATTATGCAGTGTTTTCACACTGAATTTAAAATTTTTGCATTTAGTATTCCTTCTGTGCACATACTGAGGACTCTTCTAGAGTTGTCCTTCCCAGGATGCTTTGAACTGCATAGCCAATGGCTTCTTCAGTTTCTTATTGCGAAAACAGTATTAACTGTTGATGGCTCAGTTTTCTCAGATTTTTTCATAGTGTCCTGAAGTTACTCTAGACTTCTGTTCATTCCTTTTTCTTAATGTTATTTCTCATTAGCGGTTTGTTGTTTCTTTTTCAAGTTCACAATTACTTCCTAATCTGAAGTACCACTTGTAGGATTGCTGATCCTCTTGCAGGATTCTAAGTATCACATTTTCTGTGTGGATACGTGTGTGTGTGTGTGTGTGTGTGTGTGTGTGTGTGTGTGCATGCGAGTGTATTTCCAGTATTATACGGAGTACTTTTCGTAACTTCCTATACCTAGGGTAAATGCTCACATATTCATGAATGGTGTTTACTATATCAACTATAACTCTTATTCAAATGACTGATGATGCTGTTAGATAAACACTAACAAGAGTGCATGTAGTTGAACAACATGATTACATTATTTATTCTCATATGTATTTGACGGTGACAAGAGAAGGCTTTCAGAGTAAGGTGAGCTCTCTCAGTGGCAGGCTGCCTGGTTTCTGCATCTGCCCAAGTTTGACTCTAACTACTGCTCTGTATTTCAGCCCCGCCTTACTCTTAATGTTCCCTCCAATAAAGCTTTACCTGGCTCCTGTCAGGATTAGCCAGGAAACCTGAAGACGCCTTTGTCTGCCTACAGACCCCTTTCCTCTGCCTGCCAGCCTGTCAGACACATGCACCTGCTTGCTCATTCACTGAGATAATCTCATTACGTTTTTCTCACATTTCATTCAAATTCACTTCCCTTGTTTGTTCCTTCTCTTTTCATAGTCTCTCACATACTCCATCCCTCATTTCTGTTATACAAGAATATTCTCATTAAAGCCTACTGCTCCCCTAGTAGGTCCCAAATTATTACTTCCTCTGTCAGTTCCTGAGGAATGAAACACTTGGAGAATAGTTCAAAGAAGTTTTAAATTACACGTGAATTTATGGATTATTTTTCAGATACCGATATACTTGGTGGTTACTCTGTCCTCAGAAACAGTGCTAAGAGCTCAATCTAGTGCCAAATTGGAGAACAAAGGGTTGACTGCATTGTTTCCTGCTGGGACCCTGACAGCCTAAGAAACATCACAATGAATAAGGCACTTCCTCAAAAGGTTTATGCACAATAGGTCTTTCACTCTCCAACCCCAGTGATCCTCAAACTTCAACATATTACACTCACACACATTCTTTCTCTGTCTCTGTCTCTGTCTCTGTCTCTCTGTCTCTCTCTCTGTCTCTCTGTCTCTCTCTCTCTCTCTCTCTGTCTGTCTCTCACAGACACATAAACTCACACACACTAGATTCATCAGAGAGCCAAGAAAACAGATTCACAATATTTGCAGTTCTCTAAAACCAATTCTACTGATATCACAATTGAAATATCAAAGAATTTGAAACCAGAATACTGAAAACAATCAATTACATTAAAGATGATACAAATAAGGAGCTGAATTAATCAAATAATTTATTATTTAATGAGGTCAAATAAGATACAATAGAGAACTGAATGATTCCAAGAGGAAATCATTATGCAACATATGATACACTGCTGCAGTAGAAAAAGAGAATTAGGGAAAATAAACTAAGAATTCCTAGAAGTCAATGCACAAATAGACTTATTAGAAATACAACTGAAAAAAATTCAACTGAAATTCTCAATTTAAGATGAATCACAAGTAATAGTATCAGAATCATAGGACATACTGGATGCGCTAGATTAATGACACAGAGAATAAAAATGAGAAGTGATGAGAAGTGGAATAGGCCAGAGTAGAATATGAAATTAACATTTCAGATGTATAATAATGTTACCTAATATATATTTTAAAAATAATTCAGAAAATCATGTTGCATTCACCTATTAAAGGGGAAAACTCACTTTACTGATGCAATATGAAAGAATAAGAGAAAACCAACTAAAATACAAAAGTGAAAAGTAAAGTGACACCCTCAGAGTAAATGGAATTGTATTTTAGCACTGTGAAGCACACGGAATTTAAGAAAGGGAGCTAGTAAAATTAGCAGTAGAGATAAAAATAAATTCAATCAATAAAATTAGAATAATAAAATGTTCAAATATTGGAATTGAGTACTATTTTTCACATATTCCATATCATTTATCAAACAGTGAAAGAGATTACAAGTTATATACTGCAAAGGAATGATAAAGGTGTATTTTGATATATATGCTATCACAGCTGAGTTAATAGCTATCCACATGCATGTATCAAATTAACACAGTCTAGTAAATTCACACAAATATGGTCACTTCATCTATGTAACCTGTACTTTAGTTAATCTTTGAATAATAATGGTTGAGATCTGGAATACCCTCTTAACATCTCTTACACTTATAGGCTGGGCTTTTAGAATGTGAGGAAATCACAGAGATACTTATAGCTAGGAGCCTGACCACTGGGCCCATGAACCTGGGGGAATGGATGTCTCTCTCTGGCTCCTCCCTTCTCCCCCTGCTTCCTGGTCTTCATGAGGAGAGCAGCCTTTCTTCCACGATGCCCTCCATTACCCTGTTTCTAGCTTGCAACCAGCTCACCAGGGACTGACACTGTGAAACATAGCAAACTTTACCACTTCTCTGCTGTCAACTGCTTTGTCCCAGTCACAAGGAAAGAAAGTCATGCATAGGAAGTAAGCACCAACTGTCTTCTGGCAAACACAAAGCAGAAAAAATACTGAACTTACATTTGCAGAGGTAGACATGGGTCTCCTAGTTGTGCCTGTGTGTTCCTTCTCCTGACGGTGAAGATAACCTGAAGGAAGGACAAGCAGGAGTCTAACACTAGAAGATAAATGTTTGCCACGTTCAACATTTGGTTCATTCTATTTTATGAAGAGGAAAGGAATTTCATAAAATACATGTGCTAGAATACACACATGTACACACACCCTGCACACACACACACACACACACACACACACACACACACACACACCGTACACACACAAATACACATGGACATTGTTCATACCCTTGACGATCACGGTGGTCATCACAATTTGATAAAAGGATAAACTGTAAGTTTTGGCTATCTTCCATTTTGTTCTCTGAGATTTCACCATAAAGAGTATCAGGGAAGTTACTGTATTCAGACTGAGGGATTCAAAGAGAATCCTGAGCTGTGCATCATTCTCCTGTTCCTTTTACCAGCAATTTATCCCTTGATTCATGGACATTTAACACTCACTTCATCCATCGCTGGCAACTGCAAACTGAAAATCATGTGTGTGTGTTTTTCTTTTGTCAGTAGCTGCATGCTATTTCTCTGTCACTGTCAAACATGCTCTGGCTCTCCTATTCCTTCCATATAGACTTGAAAACTCAAGCCACAGAAACCTGCAATGCTTTCTTATGTTTTTATTTCCACCAAAAAAATATTTTGCTGGCCCCGTTAAATAACTCTGTTACACACAATTGTTCCTACACACTTTCTCAACATTCTGCCGTTTCTTCAGATGTCAGCCAGGAAGAACATTAGCTACACAAAACTGCAAATATTAAGGTTTTTTTCTTTTTTCTCTTACTCAAACCCTGACTTTGGATTTCATCGCAGGGCCTTAGTGAGTGATGTACTGTGGAAATGAAATCGTTTTTCCCAGGAGGTTAGAGATAATCTGCAATGCATCAGTGCCATGAGATAAGCATTGAATATCTTTGAAGTTATGAGTATACGTTCATCTGAAACTTTATGCATCTACTTGGTGCTCATACACCTCCTTCACCACATATCTCAAACCTGTTCTTGATTGCATGGTTTCGGGCCTAGGACTTACCTCAATGGCATAAGTGCCTGCCCTTGCAAGCATGCAGGCATGAGTTTAATCACAGTACCAAAAAAAAAAAAAAAAAGAATGGATTTTGATTTCATGATTTCTTTTCTTATTATTGAGTTTTTAAATTTCTTTGTGTATTATGGATATAATTTCTTTATCAGAAATAAATTCTTCCAATAATTTTCCCCCTGCAATTATCTTCATTCTGTTTCCTGATTGCCCTAATGTATGAAATGATCTGCACATTCACAGCAGGAGAAAGAACTGAACAGTAGCTAATATAAGTATTTAATAAACTCCTGGGATAAGTTTTGTATTACTGGGATCCCATTCTTTGCTGTGATTGATTATATTCTATGTGGAAATTCAAACCAAGATACAAGACTTTCACCACTTTTAAATCCCTGGATTTAGGGGAATATCTTTGACAAATGGCTGCAACCCTAAGAAAAAAACAAGCAGTAAACCAATTTAGGCAGATGCACCTTTTCTCTCTGGAAGTTTAGGGAGCAGATGCTGTTTCCTTGCGTTTTGTTTTGTCTGGGTTTGACTTTGTTTGTTTACACTGATTACACTCACTCGTGCAATTCAGTACATATTCATCCAACCAATGAAAAGACACACACATATGCTCCTGCTGTGTAACCCCTGAGTTGTACAGTGCTTTCTCTTTCCCTCCCTAGTGGATCCATGACTCTTAATTGTGGACTGAGTTGAGCTATAGCTGCTCAGTTATGCAACAGAATTACCTAAGAAATATCTACATTGTTCACTTCCAAGCCTTCAAAGATCAGAGAAACTAAAAGGCTATTTCCCTGGCCATAACAGACAGAATGGGAAAAAGAAAATTGCATGAAATTTGAATTTCCTTTTACCAAATCAAATATATGCAGAAGGCAACAAAGTGAAATGGACCCTGTAAGTCAGACCCAGGTCTGCTACTCAATGGCTGTTGACTTCATGGAACTTACTACATATCCAGTGTTGTTTTCAGATGTAAGAAAGAGTTAATGATGCATAGCGGCTTTTCAGAGTTGCTGAGAGAATGAATTTATGTAATGCATTTAAATAACTAGATGAATTATACAATATAATAAATGCTGAGTTATCCTTGGTCTTTTAAAAATTACTTTTTCATTCCCTATTCTTATATTTCTGCCCCTCTGCAATGAACGTTTTACATCTTCTACTGGTGCATAAAATGTATTACACTTTGAGATCTCTGAGTCATTCATTTTCTTCTCTCTCCTGACATATGATAATTAATTGTTTACATGATCTACATTTATGTTTATATGTTTTACACAAGTAGAAGGAGCACTCAAAACCACTCTTACTCACCAATACCTGGATAAATGCCCAACCAGCTCCAACCAACACCTGATAGCATATGATGAATGACAGCAGAACAGTGGGGTCTTTGGAGAAGCGGAACGCAGCATTCCTAGGAAGCTCAGCTCTTCTTCTACAGTGCATGGACACCTGGAGAAGCCACACAGCCATCACATTCACCAGAACTGTGGGCAGGAGAAGGATCTTTGAGAATCTCCCTGAACAAAATCCTCATTTACTTCTACATATAAAATCCCAATGGCCTGGTTGTTTAGCTCTGATTTAAATGTTTCCAGTGACACCGATTTACTGCCCTCAGTAGTAACCCAAACCCAGATCTGTATACACATGGATGAACTAAAGAAGAACTAACCCTATTATAAAAACTTCTAACAGGTTTATTATGCATTCATCCAAATGAGAGAATATTTTATTGCTAAATGAATTAACAAAAAGGTCAAAACAAAATGAAAAAATAAGATATTGGGTAGTATGTTAGAAAGATTTGCAAAAATTTCTGCATATTTATAGAATATTTTACTGATGAAAACATAAATCAACAAGAATTACATGTGATAGTTATGTCTTATATGAGAAAACTGAGTGAGCTGCATAAAACTAGAATTCATTGAAAAACATGCATACAGTCATTTTCAAAGGTATAAACACAATTTAATGCTAATATGAATAAAAGATAGATTAATCTAAATATAAATAGAGTGTCACTCTATTAAATATCTGTAATAATATTTCTAATTCAAGTTAAAAAATAAAATGCTATTATTTTTCACAAGTACAAATTGCATAAAATTTCCTTAGATTTTAAAATGTCACTAGTTGTGTGAGAACCTGACATAAACAATTTGAAAGACAAAAAGCTTATTTTGGTTCACAATCCACAGGTTGCAGTCCATGGCCTACCTTTTCTCACTTTAGACCTGCAGGAAGTCAGAAAGAGCAGAAAAGGCCAGGAAGAGGAAAGTGTCTCAGCATGGCAACCAGGCACCAAAGAAGAGTCCAGGAGTCAGACAGGAAAAATTCGGGGAACACATATATGCCTCATGTTCACCCCCATGACCCAATAAGGCTATTGCCTTTATCCATCACCTGCCTATAATGACATCCACCTATTCTTGCTGCCTTGATTATCTGATCATTTTCCAAAAACCCCATCGACTCTCAACAAAACCTTTAGTTTTATGGAACATTTCACTTCCCTACCATGACACTCCCATAGTTGCAATCATAGATAATATCACTGTATCTGAATGGCTTAAACAAACATCACCTTATCTAAAGGAAAACCATGATCAGGTAAACTCAGATGGTTTTCCACAGGCTCACTGCTACCTGATTCCAGGTTCTGCAATGTGTAACAAATAAATCATGCTATATGGTTTGGATACCAATGATAATGTGCTCAAATTCCTGATGCCATCACTGAGATGGTCACGGGGGTGAATTAGTTCCCATTTCATTATGTCCTCTAAAGCACAGGCATCCATCACATTCTTTAAATTCTCACAGATTTTTAAGACTACATCTTAGCAGTTTTCAAGGTTTGATCTAAATGGAAAATAACTTCCCCAAAACCTCATTCCACTCATAAAATTGAACCAACTGAAAGGGTTGGATTCTCCAGCAGGTGGGGGGCTCTCTCCTCCTGCTATGGGAAACCTTGTGCTTACTCATGTTTTACTGTTTTCCTTGATATCTGCTTCTCTGAGTCACTTAACAATAGCACCTTCCTTACTGCCCAAGTCCTAGAAGACACAACAGAAAAGCTCACCACTACCATTTTCTGCACACTGCTGCTCATACCTCATTTTTTTTGCAAATGTGTATTTCTGAAAAAGGTTTAAATTTTCAGAGTTTTGCTCGTTTCATCTTTAAATTATTATGGTACTTTTCATTCTGTAAACTATTTCTGCCTCTAGAGCTTCCTTTATATACAGTACAAAAGTACTCTTAAAACATACAGGACAAAAAGAATATTTTCCTAAAATATTTGTGCAGGCTTCAATATTATCTCAGGAGTACAGATGTAGGACATTTTCCATAATAATATCTAGCTACCAAAAAGGCTTTTCATTTATTGAGTTGCTCTCCTACATGATATCACATTTTTCCTCGAATCAAGTGGCACATCTTACCCACTGATATCTGTGGATCTTCTTTACTAAATGTAATACTTCGTATGCTCACAGTCTTTCTCTTTAACTCTGTTTCAACTGATATCAATACAGCCGTTACAGCACTTCTAATTATGGTATTTGCATTGTGATTCTTACTCCTTTTTGGAATGTTTCCACATTGATTTACTGTTTTTAAAATTTCATGTACATATGAAGTTCATCTCTTTTAGAAAGTACTTGGCTTGGAATGGCTCTTCTATCCAGTTGGATAATGTCCTTAACTGAATGCTACATCCTTTACATCCAGGAAAATTCTTTGTTTTTATGGTTTCATTTTTTTGTTGTTGTTGTTTTTCACATCTGTTCTTTTTCTGCATAAACCTCATCTTCCCAGTACACCGACCCCTATATATAACCCAACAATTATCAGGAACTAACCCTCCCCAAAGATTCATCCTATTAGAAAATAATCCTAACTCTAACATAACACTAACCCTAACTTTATAACCCTAAGACTCTGACTATAACACTAAAACTAAGCAATGAGCTAAGCATAAATGAGCAGTAACCCCAAACCTATTACTCATGCTCCCCTACCCTAACACTGACAATACCCTACAATAACACTGACAACATCACCCACTCTGATTCCTAATCCCACCCCTCACTCTAAAACAAAAGAGATGAAAACTAACCATAGTCCTCCACCATTCATCCTATCCCTAACTCTGCTTCTATAAACACAGATTAAACTCAACCAATGTCAAAACCTAAACACTAAACTTTACCTTAACCCTAACTTGAACCCTAAATATGACCCCAGCTCTGACACTGATATTATCCCAACTGGACCTGTATCCTGCAGTATTAATCATAAATGTAACCCTAACCTTAACTCCCAACTGGAAACTCACACTGATCCCCAAGACTAATCACTAAAACCTGCCCTAATTCCTAATCTGAACCCGAACTCTGTTTTTGAAATCTAATCCTAACCACTAACCACTGCCCCTAACACTATATTTAATACCTTTAGCACTTACTGTAGCCCTAAACGTGGGCCTAAGCTAGCCCTCATTCCAATCCCAAAGCTGACTCTGCACCATACACCTCCTTTACTTATTCCCCCAAACAAAACTGAACCCTTAAAAAACCATTAGCTCAAATAAACATCTCCTCATAAATTGGGACTGTTGCTTATTTATTCTCAATAACAAGAAAATGTCCCACATCCCCCTTAGATCTTTATCTCCCTAAACCCAAACCCTAAACTCAATTACAATGCTAATCCCTACCCAAATCCTGAGTAACAGAAAGAGCCAAGGTTTATAGCAGCATGGTCTTAAGAGCAAAATCAAGGAAGCCATCTGTGTATCCACTGGTGACTGTGTAAAGAAAATGTACTATCTACACATAACGGAAAATAAAGAGAATAAAGATATGCCATGTGCAGGAATTTAATCTGCTAAGTGAATGTGAGCACTGTGTGTTTTGTGCATGAGATGAGTTTAATAACATTAATGAAATCAAGCAAAAGGGATTTAGAAGAGGAAGAGGGAAGGGGATTACAAAACAACTCTACGGTGAATGTGCACCTACTCCCCACTGTGTGTAACTACAGCTACTGCAAGGATGTACTAAGAAGGAAATACTTTTCAAAAACCTGGAACCTAATTTCTAACACTTCATCTCTCATTCTCAGCCATAACACAGTGCAAATCTCATGTTAAACCTCCACTACATCCCAACAAACCTCAACCCAAACGCCATCTTGTTCCCTCACCCTAACATTCATCCCCTTCCTCATCCTAACTGTAATGGAATTTTGAAGAAATGACCTCATGACCTCGGTGATAGAACCCAACAAGGCTTGGAACTCTGGTAACCAAGCCTCCACACTTTTGAATCTATCTCCTGCCCTGATCACTTGGAGGGAGACATTCAAGAGTAGAAGATGAGCTTTTGCTGTTTTCCTGGTTTCCAAAGTTCTAGCCGCAAAAGGCACAGGAACCAGAGCCTTTTCAGATCTTGGTTCCCACCTCACTGTGGATGTTTCAAGCTAATGTTCAGGAGGAGCCGACAAGTAAGAGAGATAACCCCATGCCAATGCCAGCCTCTTAAGGGCAGTCATTCACCAATGGATTTGGGGGGATGTGCAGGGGTTGACCCAAACAGGGGGAGATTTAAAGTGTCCCAACTTTGACCTGTCCACTTCCTATTTCCTACTTCATGGTTGGAAGTATGACAGGCATCGAAGGTCTATAGTTACGGGATTATTGGGGATCAGTTTATCTGATGGGAGGTTAATCAACTGATTCAAGCTGTCCTCTCGCACCTCTCTGTCTCAAGATTATACATATACCGCCCTATGCTGCCTAACGTGGAGAGATTTTTCTATGAGGGGGCTGTGTGGGGATGGCCAGGAGGAGTGAATGATAACTTGTGGCTCAAATGTCAGGTACTCTCTTGGCAGAGCTCTGTGCAGATCATCAGCACACCATGTGGCAACTCGGTCTCCATCAACCCAGAGCAGGAGCATGAAAACTCCAACAGTGGCCAGTGCTGGTCTAGGGTGCAAGTGAGCACACAAGGGTCTGTACAGGTGAGAACTCATGCTGACCAGCACTAAGATCAAAGAAAGATAACTTCCCCGGGTCATGGCTTAGGGCTTGACCATAGAAATGACCTGTAGTCCCATTGCCAAAGGAATCTGGTCTTCCTTATAACCCTTGTTCACTTAAATAGGTATAAAGTTTCATATCATGCATTTGTAGAATCAGAGCAAGTATGTTCTGAATCATTTCCCTCTAAATCAAGATATGGACAACTTGGTTTGATGTAGTGTTTACTTAACTGCTCCAAGTATCCCATGTGCAATCAACTCCAATACCTTTCTGGGCCTTCTACACATCCAAACTCTTACCAGGAGGGTTCCACAAACAAATGAGTTATGTACACTCACAAAAATATAAACTTTGCTAAGCTGCTCTGCACATTTCTCAATAGTGTCACATCAAGAACATGTCACTCAATTCCCAGTACCAAAAAAA